ATACAGGGTTTTGGATGGAGTGTAGGAGACTACATTCCTGATGAGTGATAAACTGACAGTTAAAAGATTTCTGTAAAACATGTAAATATATCTGGCTTCTGGTCATTACTGGTGTACTCAGACTAGCCATGCAGTAACTTAAAAGCAGTGTTCATTGTTTTCTCTCTTTTACTGAAATGTGCTGATTTGAACTATTTTCATTCAAAGTGTCCCCAGGCTGCCACTTGTAACTGTGAGAAGGGAGAAAGAGGCCTTCCTGGCCCTGCTGTAAGTAGCTGTCATTTCTCAAATAACTGATATACAGTATAAATCAAGATTTATTTCATTGTTGGAATTTTTTAAGGAAATTACTTGAACCCAAATCAGACCTTTATTTGAGACAACAAAAGTTCAAGGTTCAATACATAGTCCTGCATAGTTACACTGCATGGAAATGCCACAGCAGTAGGAAATGAGACCTGAGAATGCCATGAGACGGCTCCCTCTGAAAAAAAGAACAGTGTGATGTAGTGAGGCTGTCCTTTTAGCCACAGCAGCTTCAAAGGCAGGAAGGAGCAACTGAACAATAATTCACCTGTTACAATCGGACAACCAGACCAGGTGGATCTAACTAGCCCCAAATCAAATATTAATATCTGAAAAGCTCTCTGAAATCGAAAGAGAGAGCAAGAGGCTGAAGCATTAGGAACAATTGAGACAAGGCACTTGTAAAGAGGGTAAAATACACTGGACTTCTTTCAGAATAGTTTTACAACTAGAACCCCTAAGCAATTCTAGGGGATTGCTTCATACGAGGTTTGGTGATCTTAACTGCAGGGTTTATGTTTCAAAAAGAACTCTCAGAGTTGAATGATCTGATACTATATCCCTAACATTGAACTAAAGCACCATAGTACCTTATAGCCCTTGCTCAAGGTGAAGGGACAGTGGCAGTTTGAAAGAGAACCCTAGAGATATGCCCACCCTCAATGCTTTTGACCTGAACATCCTATACATACATAAACAGAAATACACCTCTGTTTTACCCTGCACAGTACAGCACACTTTAATTGAAAATGTAGTCTCTTGTGTGCAAATCGTAGCTTCGTTTAGGTTATTGTACAATGTCTTTAACTGGAGAGTGCAAGTACCTCTTGAACAGAAGCATACACCTTAAAGAGTTCCAAAAAGCCCAATGGTCCACTGGGCAAGCTGGGTAGCTACAAAAACATCTGATCACCTCTTTTCTTCAGAAGAGGCCTGAACAATTTCTGTTTACAACACAGACAAAAGAGAAAAATGGCTTCCTACTGAGTTGGTCCTGCTGCTCCCACAAATTCAATTTCAAGGTTATGGTAAATGCAGAGATTTTTAAAATAAATGTATAGGAAGCTAATATCCTACATATAAAAAAATCAGTGTATATATTGTAAAATAAAATTATTTGACTAACATATAAGAATTTTATTATGTTATTTTCAGGGTAAAAAGGGTCGCACTGGGGATGATGGAGCTCCAGGACTGAAAGGAGCAAAGGTGATATGATTTTTCAGATTTTGGAGAAAGATTTGGTACTCCATTAATATGGAGACTATCTTAATAGTGCCCATGTTCTAGCCACCTCTGAATTTCTCAAATTTCATCTACCCCATTTTTCTGTAAAGACTAAGATTCTATACAAATTAAAATCTTACATCTAATGTATAAAGTCATCAGAGTATAAAAAGAGGGAGCTGGTATGCTTCGTGTATTGCACTGAGATATCTACTCAGATAATCAGGACAATACTATCTTACCCTCATTTCACTGATCTTGATGTTGGGTTATTCATAGGGGGAGCAAGGTCTTAATGGAATCCCAGGACGAGATGGAATAGAGGTAAAAAAAATAATTTTTTTTCCCTTCTTCTCCAATGAGCAGTATTCCTTCTAGGCAAAACACTACTTTTCTAATTATAATAGCAAATTTCAATTCTGGTTTACCAAAATTCATTTACACTAGAAGAACTGAAAACATTATCATTGCTTAAAGGGAATAATTCCTTCTTATAATAGTGATCTAGAAAATACTCTCTAAAAATACATAGTCCCTCCTAAAAAGTGTGAAAAACTCTGGTATGATAATCTAAGAACATTACAGAAATTGACACTATGCCTGCATCTTTAAATTTTTCATTTGGCAAATAAAGGATCCAGTGTGTAATAGCAATGAAAAAATTGAATGAAATACATACAGGAAGGACCATAATCCGTAACTGTAGGACCAGCCTCTGAATTCTTTCATATATGAAGCACTCTACTTTATATTTTCTTATTTATTCATTACATTCTTTTTAGTTAGTGACTTTTTTCTTGCTTTCTTATTTTAGCATGTTTCTCAGTAAGGCAGCAATATGAACTCTAGTTGATCTACTTTTACATCATCAAAATCCCAGTCTAACCAATGACACTTGCATAAGATTTGTTCACACATACAACAGCATCTATCATGACCAATAGGTGCAGTATTTTTAAGAGTCATTGCTGTGTTTATCAGAGATCACCTTTTCTACCTAATTGTTCATTGTAACCTGAAATGCTGTTTCTCTGGGGAAAGCAGAATGTTAATAGCACCAATACTCACATTCTTACATTTGGGCTATGTATCCTCACAACCTGCTTTGCTTTTTTATTTTCCCAGGGGAAATCTGGATATAAAGGAGAGAAGGTACTACTTTTAGTCAGAACTTCTGCTTAAATATAGATATTTGATGTTATTATTATTTATTATGTATAGTGCCATATTTCTTATAAACACTAGTAATGAACAATAACATAATCTTACCAGCTGCTGCACAAGCTCTAATAGAAGATGTGTCCTTTCCTCAATGAACTTAGAGCACAACTACTGCTATGTTGTGAATAGAATAACGTTTACATTTTCAACTGAAGTACCTAAGGAATAAGGCTGATATGCTTAATATACCTCAGAAATATTTATTCCTGTTCCTTTCCAGGGTGAAAGAGGTGAATGTGGAATTCCGGGGATAAAAGGAGACAGAGTAAGTAGCCACAGAGTTGTTATCCTTTCAGGAAACTTAGTTAAATTACACAAAAACTACAATTCCTTGAATAACAACCATGGTGATAGATTCAAGGCAAATATTAATTCTAAGGCTGAGGGAAATTAACAAATGACATTTTTAAAAAATGAAGTGATCAAGGATACCATTTTCAGCAACTTTGTCAGCTCCTTCTGTATTTGAATGTGATTACTCTTCAGGCCCAAGCCTAAGCCTGTTTATAACAACAGTAAAACTCCACTTGACTTTAACAGAGGTAGGTGGCTTGAAATAGTAAGCAAAGGGAATGAGAGGTTAAAATGAAATCAAGGTTTATAATGACAATTTTCAAGATTTGGTGTGTAATTGCTGTGGATATTTTAAATGAAACAGGGTTTAATCTTGAATTACTGGTCCTTGAGAATTAACTTTGTTCAATCCTCCTCTGTATTCCAATTACCACAGTTTATTTTAAAAATACCTACTCAATACTCACTGGCTTCTGAGCTTCTCTTAATTTTTTATTTTAATGTAAAGTTATCTAAATAAGATACCTTAGTAAAAAGTTATCTAAAAGTGTTGTTGACCCAGTCTAAATACACATAAATGTATCCTTTTTTTCACTTCCCTTTCAGGGTCCTGAAGGTCCCGTAGGCCCCAGAGGAACAAGAGGGCTACAGGTAAAAAACCCAACCAAACAAACTATAAAAACAACAATATCTGGTTCCCTGGGATTCAAAGCTCTGAAATAATATCATACCACAACCATCATGGAATCTTTGAGTCACTGAGTTCAAGGCATCCAAAGTCTATCTTCTTGAACAGCAAAATTAACAAGAATTTGGAGGAGCAGTCTAGACAAATAAACCATCCTTATAATTCATTCAGTCTCAAAGACCATGGCAAATACAGTTCCATAAAAACCAAAATCACTCATTTCCCATTCAGTGTCTAAACTATTTCATTATCTCACAGAAGTATATGGAAACACTTTTGTCTTTTTCCAATACTCTTGGACTGAAGGCCAAGAAGTTTAGCCCATCATAGATGTTTCAGTAAATCTTTACTATCATTACCTTTAATTGCCTTCAAATAAAGGGAGAGACAAATTCTCTCCCCCCATTACCAGCCCCAGCCCCAACCGAGTTGAGCAGCTGAATCTATACATGCATCAGAAAGCAAAGCATCCGTTCTGAAATGTTTGTCACTTATATTTTCATGCAGACTACAGCAAGTTATTGTTTTTCAAGCTGTCATTTTTCTGAAAGCTTGAAAAATGTCATTAAAACTATTCCTGTTTTAACAGGGTCCACAAGGACAATCTGGAGATCAAGGGCCTGAAGGCCTACAAGGATCAAAGGCAAGAACTGCATTATTTCTTCTCTTTCTTAATGTTAAAAGGATGAGTGTAATTCAGGACACAGTGTTGCAATGGGCCCTCTGAAGATGGGCCACAGAAATCACCCAGTGCTTCACTGCAAGATCCAGTCCCCTCTGTAAACATAAAATATTTTTTGTTTGTTTGTTTGAAAAATGCATGATTTACATTTATTAAATCCTTAAGATTTGCTGGGTTTACTTCTCACTTACCCCACTGTAAATTCCAGGTATACCAGTGGAGATTACTTCATTCTATTGTTCTGTGATGACTTGATATTTTTGTCATAGTAGTTTAACGGAAGATATCACTGAGTATTATAGACAATTATGGGAACTATTTTAAGAGACCACAGTTACACTTTTCTCATAAAAACCTTAGAAACTGAGTAATTCAGCCAAGGCTTCTGGGTTCTTCAGCTACTAAAAGGAATATTACTGTGGAGAAAAACTTGAAAATAAGTTTATAAAAGACATTATTTTTTTGATATCTCCTTTGAACTATATTTAGAGTGCCTGCTGGCCAACAGTGAGGCATAGAGCAGTTGGGTGTCAAAACTCTTATATCCCACATGAAATGAAACATTTTTCCTTTTGTGTAATCTGATATGACTTTGTACAGGAAATATCTATGCTCTTAATAAAGGGAATTTTGAAGCATTGAAATAGCAAACAGATTAAGTACTGTGTAAGACAATTCCAATGGGTTGAAATTCAGGATATACAAAAAATGAACTTACAAACTGAGTTAAACTGATTTCCCCAGACACCAATTTATAAGCAGAATTGTTTCTTTTTTCATTTCTTGAAAAGGGTGAAAGAGGTCTCCCTGGGCCACCTGGCTTGCCTGGAGAGACTGGAATAGGACTGCCAGGCCCAAAGGTACAAGCATCTCTCATCTGCTACGTTACATGTATTGTAGAATAAGAACAAAGACCAAGAGAGCTGAGATAATATACTTGCTGGTACATGAGAAACTTCAAACCCCCAAATGCTGTTTTTATGGTACTGGGATGGTATTTTGTAAGTTGATTAAAATAGCTGGGGGGGGGAAGTACATTTTAAGTATGTACTTTAAAGGACTTTTTTACAGTAGTTCTTATGCTTCACATAACTGAATCCAAGCAGTGTATGTCTTGAGTAAAAATGCATACACAGACTTAAACAAAAAATATCCAGTGAAAAACAAGCTTGTTGGTTTGGATGACTGGCATAAAGAAATCAGAAACACTATGACAGAAATACTGACTTCTTGGAAAAGGACAAGTGATACATAATGTACTAGGAATATGATGGGAATAATTAACCATTTAGATTCAACGTTGTCTTCTCTCAAATGCAGCACTGAGGCTGTCCCCTAATGCTGTGAAACTGCACCAGTCCAATGTCTGTTTGGCCTTGCATGCTGTATGACTCTGAGAACACTCAGATTTTCTCTGCCATTCCTGTATTCTCATACATCAAGTATTTCAAGCAGAGAATGTCTGATGAGTTGTTATATGCTGCACACATACAAATACCTAAATCAGGCATTTTCAAAATACATCTTTGTTTGAAGGGTGACACCGGTTTGACAGGAAGACCAGGTCCTGTTGGCCCACCAGGAGTTGGTGAGCCAGGACTTATGGTAAGTCTGTCTTTCATTTGGTGAGAGGGAAGCAGGACAGAAAGGAAAAATTCTCAGTGCTTCCATGTTAAAAGGGGTATATATGTGTTAAATGATACCATCTCTTTTCTTTCTTCCACTAGTTCTCATTCTCATACATACTGAATTGTCTGACTTTCATTTCCCTTAATAAACTAGAAATGTTTCCAAATCCTTGACTTTTCTAATTATCTTAGTCTCCAAAACAGTTATGAAAAAATAACACCTTATGCAAAACCACATAAATATTTAAATAAATCTGTCCCCTGATAGATTCAAATACATATGTGGTAACTCCAAAGTTGACCGCTTTTCATTATCATTAGAACACTAACATCAGCATGGCTTTGAGGGAGAGACTCCATTTCAGGCACTGTAACATTAGAAACAGTCGTACCTAAACAGCCTCCATAAAGACATTCGGATAGCATAAGTGGTCCCAGGTAACAATTTGACCAGTATTACCTTTACTGGAGATAACAAAGGTAGAAATTAAAAAAAAAAAAATTGAATTTCAGAATTTATAATAGCTTTGGCTCTGAAGTCTCTTCCTTCTTTTCCTTCCCTTTTTCCTCCTGGTAGTTGTCAACTCAGTCTCTTTGTGGTAATTCAGAAAATCAGTACGCCAATTTTATGGTCACTTTTTTCCAAAGTGTCAGACAGCACCTTTTACTGAGTTATTTACAATACAGCAGACTCAAATTCATTTCTCATCGCCTGGATGAAAGACCCCCTAGTGCAACCAGAAGGAAAATTCGTGCAGTTTTTTCACAAGTAGCTTTTCCCTATTGACAAGGAAAGATTTGTAGTAATAATTTCAAAAGAGGTGCTTCCATGAAAAACAGAAAGATGGTTTGGTAACTGAACTGACTGTCAAACCTGCTTGAAAATACACTGCTGGAGAGGAGTGAGTGCCCACTGAAGAGCCCAAAGAAAAGAACATTAATAATAAGGCCAGTGGTGACAGTCAGTCAGAGTGGGGCAGTAATGCTTCCTGAGCCACTTCAGTAACAGCATAGAGAAAAGAGCCACTGTATGAGGGAAGAGGTGCCTGTGATATGAATCTTTGTTAGCCACAACAGCTGTACTGGTATAACAAGAGATTCTGATTTTTAAAAAATAGACTAAAGGTGGTTTTTAAATTTACTTCAAAGTGTATTTTCTTCAGAAGAGTTTTCTTGTTATGGCTGAATGCAGTGTAATTATCTTTACCTAAGAACTAGACATAATTCTAAAGTTCTGTGCAGAAGAAGCAGAAGCATATTTAGGCTATGCAGAGCCAGATCTACCAGCATTCTGTGATGTGTGTGTAATCTCAAGGAATAAATCAGAGGAAAAAACACAGACACAGGAAAACACTGTGAAGCAGGCTCAATATGCAGAGGTGTTGGACTTGCATTTAGTGAAAGGTTTTACTCATCTTGCTTTCTCCTTGTGCTCCTATCAGATCTGCTTCCAGAAAAGAAAAGCATGCTATTACTCTCTTTGCCAATTACAGTCAAATCTCTCTACAGCTACATCTTCTTCAGTACTACTCCACATGGTCTTTGATTCTCCCTGTATCTCATTATTATACTGATACATTAATAAGGATTAGTAGCAATTTGTAAACCAAAGTAAAGTTTAGGGAGTGAAGGTTTCAAAAGTATAAGGAATAGGAATTTCAGCTACATAACCTGTGATTCATAAGTAACCAGAAAAATAAAACTGCCTGCCTTGTTATTGCTGCAGGCCAGAATACTCATCATTTATTCACTGTGAATATCATATTACTGTATTATTTTTAGCAGGTCATAACTACACCAGCATTTAAAGAAGTGCTTAAAACCAACAATGACATAGAACATGCTGCTGTTGATTTGAGTGATTAATACATATTCTACCCCATTTCAAACTTATGTTAACAGGGGCCTCAAGGACCACAAGGTGTTCAAGGAGAAAGAGGTTCACCAGGAGAAGGGCTTCCAGGAGCAAAGGTACAGCAGTTGAAGGGGTTTAAGACCAGAGCAGCACCATTAAATGAGTGCATGTCAAAATAAGCCCATAGCAGACATGGGAATCTGAGAAATTAGCTTGTAAATTGATATTAAAATTTGTCATCAATTAACCCAATATATTTTCATGGAATTCATTGATCCAAACATGACTGCTAGCCTTTGGGGCCTGTAAAGCTGGTATTTAATTCCCCTGCCACTTGGTTTGTCAGATCTAAGCCTGGAAAGAAATACAGCTATAATTTTAAAACAGCCTTGAGCATCAAACTTTAAATAAAATATTATATAAGTGATTCATAGATGAAAAAATTTAGCTTTTTGTTGTTGCTTTTTACTAAATCCTTATATATAAAGATCTCTGCTGTCACAAAAGGCAGGCTTCTAAACTTCTTAAATACCTCAGCCACTGGCTTATGCATTTTAGCAGAAGTCTGAATTCAGTTTGTGGGAAAAGAAAGCTGCTGTTAATAATTTTCAGACCCAGTGGAAGTAATGACAATAGTAGATGCACCTACATGGATGGACTCACTAGACTTACTGCTAGTTCCTTTTGCTGCCTGCTGAAAACCAACCCTCAGGCTGAGTTGTCACTTCGACCTTTGGTTACAATAACGAAGCGACGCAGCTTGTATATGAGCTAAATAACTAACTAAATGGTTCACTCATTTCTGTGCATGCACCAAGGGAATTTTGGTTGGGAAAACAATAAAAAATCATTTTGCAGATGCAGGCCCCAACTGTCCCTTTACTAAAAGTCTTAGGATTTTTGATCAGCACAATACTGTAGTCAGCTAGGTTTAAATTCGATTGCTGCTAGCAACATATCTTCAAATATCCAGTGTGTATTTTATGATAAATTATACAAATTATCTAACCTCATTGTTGATTGCTTGTATTTGCTTAGCAGATCTCATGCATGAAAGCAAACAAAAGAAATTATTTTAAGAAAATGCATTTAGAAATCACTCCATTGCCACTGAAATACCAGTTACTGTGGGAAGAAACACTACAACTAATAAGTAGAGCACAGCAACAATGCACAGTGGGAACAAGTACAGAAGAATGCATAATCTAATCAAAACTATTGAGCAATTGAGATAGGCAGAATAAAATAATCAAAGTGGAATTTTGCCAGCATTATTGGGACTCTTGATTCTATAAAAGATGTACTACTTTTTACTGACAAGTCTGACCTGGAGCCAAGCATGTATCAACAGAGTCTATACATGTCTCTAATCCTATTTTTGGCTGCCAAGTACGCCAGGTCTTTGGATTTAAACACATTTTAAACAGGTGATTTGTTAATCTAAAGCAAATTTTACAGTTGCTTCCTTCAGAATGTTTTTATTACAAGCTTGCAGGAAAATGAAAGCAGGTGTTCTAAAGCATCAGGAGTAAAGAATGTTATTTTAAACAGCAATCCACATGAGGTATTTCAGTCAAAGTTAAAATGATAGAATTGGTTACTAGGGAGAGAAAAAATCTGGCTGGGCATAACTTCATTGCCTTGGGTGATTTTGTGACAATTTAGTCAGGCTAACCATCTGTCTATACATGTTTTATTAACAGAAGTACAAGAAAGCACAATATTTTTAGTAACCTGCATTTTCCCTACGACCACTGTTTTGTAAATAAACATTTGGGAAGACAATTACATTTACAATAGACTTCTCCAACAATACAGTTTGGCCTTGTCTTTACTCTGGCAAAATTCTTAGTGAGAGACAGATCCTCATTGCCACACTTTAATGAGATTAACCCATAAGACAAAAAAGCAGAATTCAGTTAGTCTCATTACTCAGCCCTGCTGACATTTAAATCAGTTGTGGTTTTGCCATTGATTTGAGGGGAAGCAAGACAGGACCTTAAGCAACCAAGGTGGGCAGAAAGATAACAAGAAGCTTGTTCAGCTCTTCCATCAGCAATTTCAAACTGCAGAGCGACCTCATTTGAAAACATTATCTCTTTGGTATCCTGGAAAACAGATCCAGGAGCTACTTCTTGGTTCTTCTTGGTTTGGTTTTCACGATGACAGAGCAAATAGTATCTCTAATTACTTCAGAGAGAACAGCTGTGTGTTTCTACCATTAACAATATTTTTTTTCATGTAGGGAGACCGTGGTTTTGATGGACCAAAAGGCCCTCGTGGACTTCCAGGCATCAGCATAAAAGGTGAAAAGGTGAGTAGTAAATACACCAGAGGATTAACAAGGTGTCAATAAATCTACATAATAGGAGGAATACAGGGTTGATATTCACTACAAAAGGTGTAATGAGGCAAGGAACCCACAATAGATCCTGGAAAATAAGGTATTTTGTAGAGAGATTTATGCGTAATAAACTCTCCCAACCTATTTTAACATCTCTTCATATTAAAATAGGAAATGTTAGAAGCAGAAGGTGAATCTCTGGGAAAGCTGAGATTTAGAAAGGGAGAAAGACACTAGCATTGTTTGCAAATGAACCAGCAGGGAATAAATGTATATTTGAAAGATAAAAGGTCAGATCCCCAGCTTCACTGGCTTCAAGAGGGCTTAAGTCAACAGGTACTAGCATGGGAGCTGTCCCATATTGTCTCTGTATCTTTACACACCTAAGCAATTGTACTTTGTTTGCCAGGGTGAATTCGGTCCTCCTGGTTTACCTGGGCCAATTGGATTACCTGGAATCGGAATTCAAGGAGAGAAGGTGCAGTTTTCACTTCCTCCTCATCCCACACTTAAATGTGTAGTAACAGAGAATATTTTATTTTGAATAATTACTTATCTTTTCAGGGAGTGGAGGGCCCAAAAGGACCACCTGGCTCTAGAGGGCTACCAGGACAGGGAGTACCCGGACCAAAGGTTAGGGAATTTTCTGAAGTAAAAGCTACTATGCTGTTTTTACTGTTATGTTTCCTGATTAAGAAATGGTCTGTCTCTATCCTTACACTTGTTAAAGTGCTGAACACCAACCTAAGTATTGACATAGCTGTAGGAAATTATTTTCTTTATTGATATTATTAAAGTGTACAGTAGATCCTTCTCCACTGAAAAGCCTTGATAAACCAATGCCATAGCTATCTATTTAGGTTTTGGCTTGACTCATGACAGAACCTTTGAGGTAGTACATATCAGACAGTGAACTGCACTTTGTCTGATACGTTTCCATAGAAAGGGTTGTCTACCTTGAACTTGCAGTTTCATCATATCAGGTGCGGGTACAGTGAATCAGTTCCAAAAAAGAAGGTGCACTTAACACAGAAGAACACCAAAATTTCAGTATCATCTTTTATCTTTGCTGTACTGTTTCCATTCCAGAAAAATACATACATACCTTACCGACTGGCTGCCTTCACTGTTACTTGTGCTGCCTGTTGTCTCACCTCACTTCCTATATTTAGTGTATCTAGCAGTTAAGAATGGTCCAAGGTATAAAGATTACTTTTGCTGAAGAAAAACTGTCAGAATAACTTAGCCTTGACTGATTTGCAAAATACAGAACCTTTAATGAAAGACGTCACCCTTCATGTGTTTGGAATGGAGATTTAAAATCATTTTCTGAAAGAGGTGAGAGATAAAGTTCTGAATGACTGGAAGTTATTAAAGCATAGTATAAAGGAATTAGAGGTGTAAGTAGGCCAAGGGTCCATGCCACGTAAAGTATTTTGCAGCATCAGAGATCACCTCTTACATTATAAGTGATTGTGCAGGGATATGCTTTACCACTGGTAAAAAGAAAGAGAAGGGTAAATTGTCTGAGGATGTCAGATATGCTCCTGAAATATCAGCTGCTTTGGCAGAAAACATTCACAGGGACATATAATTTATAGGTTTACATCATTAATCATTTCTACTAACATCTTTTTGGTGACACTCAAAATGTGCTGCAGATTCCCAATCTTTGTGACCAAGGGTTTAACAAATTGTACTAAAGACAATATCACACTAATCTTCTTTCTTTAAATATAAGCAACCAATAATCTGCTTTTAAATTTTTCCATGATAATACTGTTATAAAATAATTTCTACCTAAGGGTGAACAAGGCTTGCCAGGAGAGACTGGAGTGCCAGGAGAAAGAGGTATTGGAGAACCTGGTTCTAAGGTACTTTGTTAATAGAGGAATTATTTTATTTATTTATTTATTTGGATTTGAAATTTGTGTTGCCTAAGTAACCTTTCTGTAGGCACTTAAAATAGATTTAGAAAGAAAACTTAGGTTCTTAGTCTTTAAAATTTTTAACAAAGACTTTCAATAACCTCCAGAAATGGGAACATTTTAAATACACCAGTTCTGTACAAAAGTAGTTGAGATGTATTGTGACTGAAAATTTCCACATACCTGGCCCATGCTCAAGTCAGTGTTGCACGCAACTCACCTACAGCTCTGTCCATAAAACCATCCAGAATATTAAACAGTTGCCAGAACTCACAGTCTCCAGTGTAAGCTAAGCTATCGCCAAAGCTGGTGAAAAGAAGCACTGAACAGTGGTTATTGTGCTGCTCCTTCCCTTTTCACACAGGATAGGATGTAAACAGAGCAACAGCTACGTCCTCACACCTTTATACAGGAAACAAGCTGTGTTACTGGACAGAAAGCACGCTTGCTTAGAAGAGCAAAAGCTGTAACCAGATTAATTTAGTGCTAAAGTGACCAAGGTGTTAACCAGTCCCTATGTCACTAACAGCCAGATTAACATAAAATATGGGAATAGATTAAAAAGTATTTTCGTGATAGTGGAAAGGCACAGGGCTGTCCTAGTTTTGCTCTTGTTTGTTAGGGATTTGGGACAGGGGTTGAAAAAGGAAAGAAATTGTTCAATTTCTTTCTTTAATTTCACAAAATATAGTAATGCTGAGTGAGCCCATTTGACCCCAAATGATCCCATTTCATCTAAAACCAGGTCAGGCTCTTGAACCTTATATAAATAGGCTAATGACAATTCTACTGCCATTCATAGATTTGCACTGATATTCACCAGCAAGATGCCAATCATCAGGTCTCAGTCAGCTCTATCTGGTATTTACTTCAAATGCTGCCATTTAATGAAATTATGGCATTATTTTTTAAGAATGAGCTGGAGCATTAATAACTAATAATATTAACTACATAGATAAAATGCACAGTTCAAACAATCAGACAATAGGCTAGTTTCAGATACATGAGAGTTGTCTTTATAAAAAACTGTCAAGATTTGGGTTCATACGCATAAATGTTTGCTATAAATATATACAGTTTAGTAAACTTTTAAAAATAGATTTCCTACATTCAGAGAAAGAGTAGTACCAAGTCTGCATTTAATAGAAGGACTTACTTTTTATTGATGTCAGGGTGAGCCAGGCCCTTCAGGACTGGCAGGTCTGCCTGGACTTCCAGGAGAAGACGGAGCCCCTGGACAAAAGGTTGGTTCATCTCTGTCTGCAGTCTACCTGCTTCTCTCCAAGCATTCGTACTGTTCCCCTTGTGCTGACACCCAAACCTAGAAGAGAGAGTGTTCATGGACAAGGGGAAAAGTAGCACATTTTTCAGCGAAAACAATTCTCTTTCAAACATACTTTTTAAGGGAAAACTTTCCTTTTCCTGGGTGGTTGGTTTTTGGTTTTTTTTTTTGGTGGGGGGTTGTCTTTTGTTTACAGTTATTAGCTTTTTTTAAATCCACCAAATGCCCTGCAGCTCAGAAGGGAAACCACTAAAATGGTTACAGGCAATCTTTTGTAGCCTTCCGGTCATGGTATTTTCCTAGAATCAGGAACCCCATATATTCAAAGATTATATACTCAGTGTTCAGCCATGACTAAGGAAACATACTACTTCATGCACTACACCCAGAGTTTTGCAACAGTTGCTTCTGAACATGGGAAGAAAATCCTGGGCCTACTGACATCAGTGGGAGTTTTGCCATTGACTCTAAAAGGTCTATGATTTTAATGAGCTTATTCAAGTGAATACAGAGTTGATCTTGTCCCGTATCTATGCAGAGCTCTGAAATGCTGCTTTGATTTTTCTGTTCCAGGGTGAACCAGGGTTACCTGGTCTCAGAGGTCCTGAGGGTGCTCCAGGGTTTGGAATACAGGGAGAAAAGGTGAGAATTTCTTATTAAAGGTGACATTCAAAATTGTAATGTTCCAGGAACAGGTTTGTCAAAGTCTTCTCTTTTTTGGTCTAAGTAACGAAAAAATGTACCTCAAGGAATAGGTTAATGGGTGCTTCTAAAAGTGGTTAACTGCAGAGTTTATTTCAGACTCAGCCTAAAACAACAACTTTTTAAATAACAAAGTTAATAAAAGACCACCCAGGACATCTTTTTCTTTTTTTTTTTTTTTTTAAATGACAGCACAGCAATTCAGTGGCTCACAGTTTCCAGTACCTGTAGTACTATCTGTTCCAAAAAGTTCACAAAGCTAACTGGGAATACTACTTCTCTTAGTAGAAACAACTGGGTCAATCTTTTCAGTTCTAGCTCTTGTACTGGTCTTCTGTACTGATTCACAGATGGAGGAGTAATTCCAGTTTCTCACATCAGCATCTGTATCCTGTGAAATAAAGAAGCTGGAAATTGCTGGAATAATTGTCCAAGACATATAGAGATTAAATGTCACAACAGAAGAGAAATAAAAATATTAAGTATCACAATTGCAAGAAGCTGGAAGGGCTAAAAAACAGTATAGGAAGGAAAATCAAGGCATACACGTGTTTTCAGATTACTTTGCTAGGGAATACATGCAGATGACATGATGCAGCAATAAAATTAATTACCATATTGTAACTTTTTCAGAATTATTCTGGACTCATAGCCGTTTCATTTTTGTTGTACTTATTACAGCCTAATAGTATCCTTAAATAGCAATTATACCTTTACAAACTTTACACCATCTATTCTTAGCATTTTCAGTCCAGAAGTATAAGCTAATCAATCAGATAAGGCAACATGCTCAATTAATTTGCCCTATTTGCCTTTGAATTAAAAAAAAGTACCTTTGAGTGAATTAGCTTTTCCTGTTTTGATTATTTCTCTTAGTATCTTTTTCATGTAATTACTTAACTTGATTTTTCAGCTGCAAGGATGCAATCTTTAAAGACTCCTTTTGGCTCTTATTTTTTTCACAGTATTCACTGGTAAGTCAGTTAACTTAATTTCAGATGAAATCTACGTAGTTTTAACTGTACAAATCCAAAACTGAGCAGAATTAACTGACTTGCCAATGAAGGCAATAGGAACAGCTCATGTGCACCAGCTATGAGATAGAACTTCACTATCTTTTACTGATATTTACAATTAATTTCAGTTAACACATTCTTAATATTATTTGGTAAGTGTGACATATCTTCTCCATTTTTGTAGGGCGATCAAGGTCAGAGAGGAACACGTGGATTAACAGGACCAACTGGACTGCCTGGACCTGCTGGAGCTAAAGTAGGTTTATTACCATGTTATGTGTCTGAAATAGCCCCCCAAAGCTGTGCTTTCTTCTAGATCTTAGAAACAACTGTCCCAGAATTAACTTGCCTCTTAAAAAACAAATTAAAAAAAAAAAAGTTCAGCTAAGGCTTCTCTTAGCAAGACACACCATGATCCCTATAAACATCTAGAAGCATTTTTAAAAAAACTTTGCATTTACCATATTGCTTCCCTGTTGGTTTGGAAAAAGTTAAGGGACACTAATACTGGTACTTTTATGCTGAAATAGGTAGTATTTGGGAAGGTAGTATGGTGTATGGCACATACATATGTGACAGGACTTTATTTTCCCTTACACTGATTCATGGCTGATATTCTTTTATGAATTTGGAGTTTGTATTCAAATACTCAGTATTCACTGAAAGTGAGAGACAGGCTACTGCAGGTTTCTCCTCCAGTTTCGTATTAAGTCTTTTGCTATTTGTACCCACAAGAGTGTGTATTTCCACATAAGAGGAAAAATAAAAAGGGTTTAAAAATACACTGAAAAGACTATTTAAAATAATCTAACAGAAAAATATACACGTTTTCAGTGTATCTACACAGCTGGGCAGGAAGCCTTGGGTGCCAGACGTGCTGGACCAAGTCTCAAATACACCAAGAAAGGGATTTCTTAGTTTTTATATTTGTTCAGTGACTGAGAAGAATCTAATTTCCATTGATAAACCAGAAATATCCTTGTTACAGTTTTTCAAATAGTTAGATTTTACTCCACATAGAATAGAATATTCAAATTCTAATAGGCTTTTAATGGAATATTATAAGTTGTGGCATAAATGTTCTGTCTATGAGATACTCATCCTCAGTTCCAGAAAAATCTATTGTTTTCCCTCTCCCTCCTTCACTGCAGGGAGAGCCAGGTGCACCAGGACGTCCTGGAATGCCAGGCCCTCCTGGAAGAGCTGTGCCTGGACCAAAGGTATCATCTACACTCCAGCTCCTAGCGCTTATAAACACTGGGTGAAAACTGTGAAGTAGGCCATGCTATTATTCATGTAAATAATTTCAGCTTTATGAGAGCAACTAAAACTTCTTTCCAATGAACAGAGTTACGGATTGTATCCAGTCTAGTTACCACCATGCCCTGGTATTAACTGTATGCCAACTTGAGGCGTGGCCTACCTATGTTCATTTCTTCATTTTGGATAACCCTGGATATCAAAATACTTTTCTTTCTTCTGCTTTTGGTGTTTAATGCTTGCAATAGCAATAAATAAAATTAGCTATTACATTCAAAATATATAAATTTGTATAACAGAAATCCAAAAACACAGTATATGATTGGTGTTAAATAAAATACATAACTACAGTATATATTTTCTTCACTGCAGGGTGACATTGGGTTACCTGGTCTTGCTGGACCAATTGGAGAACCAGGTTTTGGGCTTCCTGGGGCAAAGGTAGATCCTAAATTACTAAACTAACTTCCGTTAGAACTGTAAAATAAGGCAAGATTTCAGTGAAGCAACAGAAAATCACCTAGGATGATCAAATGTTCCATAGCTCTTCATGTGTATGTCTCACAACACTTGTGGATTATAAGGATTTTCAGAGCCAGAAAACCATGGATGGTCCATCTTCCAGACTCCATGAACCATAAGCTTTCACATGGCAGAGAACCAGGAGTAAAATTACTGCTTTTAATTGATGAGGAGTGATTACACAGAGAACACTTGACTTTTGTGCTTACAACAGCCTACCTGTCAAGCAGTTTTTCTCAGCCAATCTCCTTTGCTTCATTCCTAATTTTGACACAGGGTAATCAACAGACTCCAAAAAGATTTCAGGACAAAGGCGAAGCTGGCAATGTGAGAAAAGATGCCTTAAGCAGTGGAAGAAAAACATGAACAAGTAGCTAATCTCTAAGGACTTCTCTCTGACACTTCTCTAGTATTGCCTCAGTATTACCTAGATTCAAGTGTTGTAAGCTGCTCTTCATTCTAGGGTTGATTTTGTCTGAACACAAGAAACTTGGGACATATAAATCCATGTTTCTCAAAATAAACTGGATCCCACCCCTCCCCTCCTTTTTTTTGCACTTAGAAAATTTGACAGTACTTTTGATTACAGCCCTTATCACTTGTTCTTTGAGTGAACTGAACACAGTAACAGAAGCATGAGAAACACGTAAGAATCTTGTCCCTTTTTGATCAGTTAGTGGTTTTCAAGATCCCTAAATTTATTTTCAGCAAGAGGAGATGATTATGATGGAATCACATACTTTTCTGGTACAGTCCAGTTAATTCAGAGAATTGCATATTGTCCTATTTCTGGGAATCCAACAAGAAGTTCTTCCTTCTTATAGGTAGGCCACAAATGACAACAGACAAGAGCCCTTGAAAAAGATTCAAATTACTAACTTAGAAGTGAAAGTTCCTGTAAATCCTCAGCACTATTAAATATCCCAGTTTTAGTCCAGGATTAATAACCTACAATAATCACCCACATAGTAAAATACATGAGCAGATGGACAGACAGATAAAAACACTCAAAGTGTATTTGCCAAAGAAGTTTCACTTTCATGGAAAATTTCTTGCTACCAATTGTATTGGCATTCACCTCACCTGTTTTTCCTGCCTTCATCAGGGTGACCGAGGTCTTCCAGGACTACCTGGGCCCTTTGGGCCAAAAGGAGATGGTTATCCTGGCCCACCTGTAAGTTTATAGACTATTTTTTATGTGAATTGGGAACAAATAGGTGCCACACCAAAGTGATTAGCCTCCAGGCTGACATGCTAAGAAAGATTTCTGATCTGAAAAGACTCCTCAACTGCGGAAATGATTTTCAGTACAGAAGGAAAAAGAAATCTCCCTCTGAAATAGTCCATGTCCTCCACTCCTCCTGATTACACAATGTAACATATTCCAAGTGGGGCTTTTTTTTTTTTTTTAATAGTATCACTGATGTGTCAATCAGTTCCCTCAATATCTTGATGTAGGATGCCATCTTCTGCCCAACCATACAAAATTTATTCCCAAACAGGAGAATATAGCCCAGCTAAGCAGCTGTGTCTGTATACATTTGTGTGAACTCAAGGCAACACTATGTTCCAGAACCACTAAAAAAGCAACTACAGTTCAAAGATCCAGAAGAGCAAACCAACCTCAGTTCTGTTCATCAGGTTGTTGAAGATGTGGCAAAGAACTGGTTGATCTACTTTACAGCCCTTTACAGAGGTCATTACTAGTAGATATAACCAATCCCTGCAAAAAGGATACAAAGAGGACAGGCTCCTTCCTCTCCCTTCCTTGCACGTGCATGCAGCACTGGTCTCACATATCCGGTCTGCTGCAGCGTGCTCCACCAGCCCTGGCAGTTACACACATGCCGGTGCAGCGAGGAAGTCACAGGAAGATTGCTGGCTAGAGGCAGGGACTTTGGTGATATACTAGCACTTAATCTGTGCTAAAGACACCAGTAAAAGTGCATGCAATTGCCACATTGAGGAATAAAAATTAATGAATGTCAAAATGGAAATTGTAATTCTACTTGCTGATATTTTTGTGCAATCTGATGCAGAACTGCCTCTGCACCTGCCTCTCTGGCTCCTCTGTTGTCAAACATTTGCAAGCCTCCTGCATGACACGCAACATACATGCAAATGCCACTGATACCACTTCTGCTCTATCAGAGTAGAATTTAACCAATTGGAGACGACCGTGATCCCACTAGGGACAATATAGTCAAGACACTACCAATTTTATGTTAACAAAAGCATGTAGTCAATATAGGCATAAATTAAATGAATATTCTGTCTGTGCATGTAATTTCAGGGCTTGCCAGGCCTTCCTGGGATTCCTGGTGAACAAGGGCCAGATGGAGTTGGACTACCAGGACCTAAGGTACAGGCCTTAACTTCTAGAAAAGTAAATGCATGTGTGTACTCCACTACATGCAGATATTATTCCTACCCATAGGTCACAGAATACCTTTTTAATCCAGCTTTAACATACTTGTCAGTATAGAAAAGGTAGATCCTATAGAAGATCTTCAAGCATCACTTCAGAACTCATGCTGATGCTGAGTGCAGGATTACTGGAATTATACAGGCAGCTGAAGGATTGACTGCAGCTATTTAAATATGCTTAATGTCTCTTAAAAGGACATACATCTTTTTTCTACTCACCTCAAACCCCTAGCTGTCTGAAGGCACTGATAAGAAAACGACAGAAAGCAAAGCAAAAACATTTTTTTTTTGTTTTGTTTGGGGAACCTGGAGTTAATTTTATGATATAGGAATTGTAATTCCTGTGTAACTATTGCATGATTGACTGTATGTGTCCTGAATATGTTTAAACCACTAGCCCCTGTTTATCCCCAGTAACTTTCTTGTCCTGCCTGCAGTATTCATAGGTTAGCATTGTTTAGACTTGCACGGTGCTGTTCAATAATTCTTCTCTCTTTGTCCCATTTGAGCACAACAGATGCTGGGAATTCTAGGCATAAATTAAACTTTGGTATTCACTACTTATTTTTTAAAGTATCGACTTTCAGGGTGATCCCGGTAGTAGAGGACCAATTGGTCTCCCAGGTCCCCCAGGAGAAGGCCTGCCAGGACCAAAAGTAAGCCATTTAAACAATTATGTCTCCCATTGTCTATTTGCTAGAAAAGAAAAAAAAATTATAGTATAAAAATGTGTGATCATTCATACACATCTACATGTTTTCTGTCTTCAATTTCACTAGAAACAACTAATCTGACAAATAAGATAACTAAAGAATACAGTGCCTTTTTTGTAGAAAATAACAAATGTTTCTGGTGACCAGCTATAAACCATGTCCACCTTCTTACTGCATACGGTAAATTATAAAGTTATAATCTTGAGGTGAAGTTCAGTGACAAAACATTTAGCTCCTGCAGAGCATAGCTACAACTGAGTAGCAAAAATTTCTTCAGATCTAGCAAGCACTGATCACGCCTTGCCTATACTACTGTTACAGCTACGGGCATACTGTTGATTTCTTCTGGAATCAATTCCTCTTTTTTACTGTATAAAGTAAATCAATAATCACCTAATGACCAATCCCTGCAAAAAAGATTATTTGTGTAATTATAATATACACCATGACAAAGGCCTGGAAATAATTGTAACTATAAAAAGCAATTTTCACTATGAAACTTCCCAAATTGGAAACTCTCCTGCTCCTACAGCTAAACTTCATACAAAAGAACTGTTTTAGAATGTAAGTGTAAATGAACTGAACAAGGTCAAATGCAAAGATTTTGCAACGTAATAATGTATTACCTGGAAAATTTGGCTTCTTGGTCCCAGAGAATCAGTCCATGTTGGCATGGAGGCTTGGTCCAGAGCTAAGCAGTGGTGAAGCACTTCTCCAGCCAGTACTGGGCTCAAGGACTGTCATGTGCACAGGATCCTTACAAATGAGGAAATTGAGAATTTCATGCGAGGATACTGGAATAGCAATATAGGTATAAAATTAAGATTGTACTATGTGGATTTTGATTGCTTCCTATGAATAACATATGGAACTGAAACATTTTCTCTAGAGTTCTTTTAAAAACTAGCTTATAAATTATGAACAAGAAATTACATGGTGATATAACAATTTATTGTGTATTTTTATTATGAATATTGTATTTAACATATGCACTCTAGGGAACCATAGGACGACCAGGGCCACCTGGCTCTCTGGGACCTCCTGGTGAAGGTATTCAAGGAATTAAGGTAAAAAGACTCAGTGTCTTCAATATTTAACCTGTGTTGAGTGGCCAATCTGACCATCACAGTGGTAAGGAGATTTCACATTGTTTCTTCATGAGGGGAGCCTCAGACTAGAAAATGAGAAGGATAACAGGAGCACCTACAAAGTTCTGTCTCTACCGCTGTAAACAAGCCCAAGGGTGTGTGTATTGAGGGAGGAGGAAGCAGGGGCATCTTTCAACAGTGAAAGAAAGCCTTACAAAATGAAAAATACTATTCCTTCTTTCCCAACTCTCATGCCTATGGAGACAGTCTGAAGTAGTTATATGACTACCACCTATGGTAGAGAAAGAGTCTCCATCCTGAATCTATGTGTAATATTAATTTTTCCCTGTAATGTGCATTTTTGCCCTAAGTATAGATCAGATGAGACAGACTTAAAAGACAGAAATAAGAAAGGGGGAATGAGAAGGAATAAAAGAAGATGGAAAGAGGGAACAAGAGAATTAGAACCAATAATGATCATGCGGTTTTTCAATATTATTATGTCTTCAGAGTAGGCATACTGATGAAGGATTTGAGAAATATAAGGTAGCTACTACATTGTCTCAGGTGCCTCAAGACACTTGTTAAAATGCAGTTTAAAACACTTTCTTTTTGAACATTTAAAATTAATGTATGATGAATGATTACAAAGGGTTAATATCACTACCTGGATTATCATTAGGGGGAACAAGGAATTCAAGGAATGCCAGGACCACGAGGCCCCCCTGGAGAAGGGCTTTTGGGACAGAAGGTATGATATCTAAATCAGAGATAATGTCCTAGACCGCATGCAGCATACTGAAAATGCTCGTTACAGTCAGCTCTCATGGAAGGCATGTGAATTCTGTGAAAAGGGAACAGGGATTTGGGAAAACCCCAGTCATTCACGTGATCATTTTAATATCTTATAGCAGCATCTCTTTCAGTGTTGCTTGTTCTAATATCATATGCGGCTTATTTTCTAATGCAATTAGAAGAAATATAGATATTAGATTTAATAGCATTGCCCTTCTTTTACCTACCCACTACACAAAATCCGGGGGCTACATCAATGTTAAGAAAAAGAGGAATGTGGGTTGGAATCAGTTTTTGGACATGATCACATCAGCTCAGAAATGCTGTACAATGTCCCAGAGCCTACTAAAAATCAAACTAGGAGACACTAATTCATTTGTTTGCTATTCCAATCACATTTTCTGGGCCAAAAGGTTTCTCAGAGTGGTATTCCCGTTATTCATTCCAACTACACCCTTGCCTTCCTTCTCAATTTCCCTACTGTTATCTTATTTTTCTCAGATACAGATAATTTCCGTCATGCAATATCCCATGAAACTCTTCTGTCTGCATATACTTGTTTGAGATAGTTCATTGTTCAAACTGCTTCAGTTATTTTTTTCCCATAAAAATTCTTAGCCAATACTACAAGTTATTCATGAAATTCACAAACACCGGTTGATTTAAATGATCTCTAACAAAGATTTCTAATTCATGTCAGAAGCTGAAGGTGAGTTCAACAAAGGCAGTTAGAAATGTGAGAAGCGTAATAAAAGCTGACTTACACTTTCTGTCTGCTTACCAATGTGGTTTTAAAGGGAGATCGAGGAGCTCCAGGTGAAAAGGGGAAAAAAGGAGAAAAAGGTGATTTAGGTGACCCTGGTTTATCTGGAGAACCTGTGAGTAACTCAGGTTTATCATGTCTGTTTTCTTAAACTGCTTAAAAATAAAGTAGGGTTGTGTGTGCTTCTTGCCATATAACTACATATAATCTGAAATACTTAAGAAACTGAAACTATGAAAACCTTTAAAAGCATAAAGAAGACATTTCTATGCTGAATGCCCCACTTCCCACAGATGTGGTTTCTTTCTTAAGGCAGTGAAAGACAATTGCCATGTTTTAAGACAAAACTATGCAATTCTGTTCTATGGCTACCAAGTAACTGTAGCTCAGACCTTCCCTAAAAGCTGATGAGCAGATGAAGGGAGGCAAAATGGTAAATTCTGCTGATGGGCAGGTCCCAATTCCCATAAAAACCTCACCACTTTAGGAGGTTGTAGATACTGCATGCATAAGGTAATACCACAAGAACACTACTTTTTCTAGACAAAGTTCTTATTGGACAAATATTATTTTAATAATGGTATTGATGAAGTCATATTCTGAATTAAAATGTTACTAACTAATTGCAGTATCTTAATTAACAATCACTGTTACAGGGCAAAATTGGACCAAAGGGAGAGCAAGGCCTAACAGTAAGCAAATTCAATTATTTAAATCCCATTACGGCAAGATATAAACAATACAAGATACTATCAAATTAAATGCATCCTATGTTAATTATTTTGGAAAGAGCTTTCTAACTTGAAGTGGTCTCAGTAATAATATAGAAAGGAACTACACAAAGGTTTCTGACTTTTTCTCATCTGCTTTATGCTAAAATGGAATTTAAAGTTCCTGGTGATTTTAGGTATTTTTCTGCTACAAGTTCTTTTACAGTTAGTGTTTGATGACCCAGGGTTTTTTAAGTATTATTGCTCTAGTAATGAGAAACTCTTTCTTTGCATGTCATGGAAGCTATCACTGCTCTGAACAGACAGCTCTGAAGGCAGCAGCTTTTTTTTTGCTGCTGAAAGCTGGGTAATACAGTGGGCCAGGGACACCAAGGTTCACAAATCCCAGCTCCATTCTGTGTTGGCGCTCTCTGTCACATGCCAGCTCACTACCAGCAACGCGCTTCCTGAAGTTGGGTCTATTTCTCCACTCCCAACAGATTTAAAAGGGATATCCATATTATTCGGGTGCTAAAATATGAATGGGTTTTGACTGATAGTTTTAATGAGAACCAAATCATCACAAAACATTCTTTACAATAACAGTATTTAATTGTTTTAGATAGAGGTGTAACTGTGTTGTCAAGTTGAATTCTTATAGGCCATACAAAATACTTCATTGTAAAATGTAGGACTCATTCCAAGATCAGGTTTGAAAGTTAAACAGCAAGATTTTTTGTAAGTCCCTGTACAACACAGATACTCATTATAAACAAAACCTTTGTTAGTGTCAATATTATACGACCTTTGAAAGACACAAATTGTAAAATATTTTTATATTTAATTTTTTCATATCCAGAGAGAAGATATAATTAAATTAATTAAAGAGATATGTGGTAAGTACTCAGGAAATCTTTACTTTCAGATCCTATCTTTTCTTCACTACATTTACATTCTTCTCCTTTCCAAGAAGATACAAAGTCAACTAATCATGATCTGGTTTTTATTTTTCCTTTGCAGGTTGCGGTATTAAATGTAAGGAAATTCCTATGGAGCTTGTATTTGTGATTGACAGCTCTGAGAGTGTGGGACCAGAAAATTTTGAGATTATCAAGGACTTTGTAACGGCTTTAGTAGACAGAGTAACTGTAGGCAGAAATGCTACCAGAGTTGGCCTTGTGTTATACAGTTTAGAAGTTCGGCTCGAATTCGGTCTCAACAAGTATACAACTCAACAGGACGTTAAGCAAGCAATTAGAAAAATGCAGTACATGGGAGAAGGCACTTACACAGGAACCGCCATCCGCAAAGCAACCCAGGAGGGATTTTTTGGTGCTCGCACAGGAGTGCGGAAGGTAGCTATTGTGCTAACAGATGGCCAAGCGGACAAGAGAGAAGCTGTAAAACTAGATATTGTTGTTCGAGAGGCTCATGCAGCAAACATCGAAATGTATGCAATAGGAATTGTAAATACTTCAGACCCAACACAGGTTGAGTTTGTGCGTGAACTAAATCTGATTGCTTCAGATCCAGACCGAGAACACATGTATCTCATAGATGACTTTAATACCCTTCCAGGTGCGTTCATTGCAGTTTTATTCTGTGTTGTATTTTACGTTTTTCAGAGCGGGGCGGGGTAGCAGGGGGAAGCCTTCTCTTTGTGGATGTTATGTTTTGATGCTGATCAGGATTAGTACAGGGTACAAAGTAATAGGAACCTAGAGATACAGACTCCCTTCTGTTAAGGAGTCACTTTTTAGGGCAATGATTTATCATGCCAGTGGGGGACGTCACCTATGGTGTAGGAAAAAAGCTGTTTAAACTAGGTTTCTAAGCTGAGGAAGCACTCATGCTCTGTAAATCTGCCGGACTGGAAACCAGAATCAAACCCGCTGGGGTAAATTCCACTTATTCACTTCCACTGGGAAAAACCCATTTTCATTCGGTTATTCACATGAGCGAGGTAAGCAGTTATTTTCCCACTATCAACTAGTAGTTGTTACTAAGCTCAGGTGAACACCTTTAGGTGAGTTCATTGTATTTTGTACCATGTAGAGAACTTATAGGCTAGCAGATTTGTAACAAATAAAAGCCATAGTCCAGAGAGCCTGGAATAATCTTCTTAGATGCATTTAAACAATCCAAAGGAGTACTGGATTACATGTGTATTATTTACATATATAAATAATCCAAATTAAAAAAACAAAACAAAACAAAAAACATTTAATTTCTCAGTATGATGAGTTTTTTACTTTTTTTTAAACAGCTCTGGAGTCCAAATTAGTCAACCAATTTTGTGAAGATGAACATGGTACCTTAATATACAACCGTAATGGAAATGGTGCAAGCATAAGTGGACCATCTTTCCATTCAGTATCTTCAAGTTCTTTACATTCCAGACTTCAGAACAACAATGTTAACAGACAGTCACTTTCAGCACAGACACCTGGAGTATCTACAGTAGAAAGTTCTCTGAGTCTTGGCGACCTTCCTCCACCATTAGCTCCGGTATGAAAATTCAGCAGGCCTTAATGAGCAACAGTTTTATATCCTTCTCTGTTGCCTGACGTAATATGTAACTTTTCCCCTACTTTTCTACAGGGCAGGTGCTGTAACAGCTCCTTTAACTTGGTAAGCTTGGAGCTGGTTGTTCCAAGTAAGAGTTCTAATGCTGCATGCAGGCAGTAGTCTAATAGCTATAATTAATTCCTGATAATGTTACAAGGTTTATTATTCCTGTATTTAATACAGTAATATTTGTGCCACAGTGTGAAACATAATGTTATTAAAATTCAATTACACCGTAATAATTAAGTCTAAGAATAGTAATTAAACTACATCGTAGTCTATATTTTTAAGTTTATTTTTAAAATTCTGTAAAGGCCAAATAAAAAAAAATATATATATATATCCCATGTTTAGGATTGACAACCCTCCTGATAAACCAACCAGGTGAGGTTAAAATCCTGATTCTTAACACTGAAGTCAGAGTAAATGGGAAGGAAAAACATTAGAAAATCTTTAAGTGATGAAAGGCTTGTTCGTTATGAGACACTTTACTATATCTGAAAAGCAAAGAAAATAAAATGCTTATTTCAGACCCAAGTACCTCCTGTGGTAGTATATGAAGCCTATGAAGAGGAACAAGAAGAGGAAGAACAGTCATCCTCACTAACAGTGGGCACTAGAGGTATTTTTATCATTATTCATTTCTTCATCTTCATTTCTGTCTGATCAAAAATCAATGTCTTCTTCTGTTTCTTTTCACCTGCAGCTGTGGTACCATTATTGCCATCTAAACCATCATCATCAGATAAAGTGATGACATCATCTCTTTCAGCTGCAGGGCTCACACCGAGACCAGGTTATCGACCATAATTATTTTTTCATTTTGTTCCCTCTTACCCTGATGCTACTTTTCGTAAGGCTTTAAATCAGAAAACAGATCTAGTCACAGTTCTTGTCCAGCCTGTTCACCAGTTGTTAAGTCTTACCAAATTCCAAATCCCACTGCTTCACTTACAGCAGAAGCAAGGTCACCTATAACCTGAGACAGAGCTCACAAATGATTTCTCCTTCAGAGGAGAAACAGGAAAAAATGGTCTTTAGTCATTTGAAGGCAAGTATAGAATTAGCTGACTGCTCAAAGGATTGATCCTTTTCATCTGAAATGTCCAAATATATTCTGTTCATCATCTGGGGGCTTCACACTTTTGAGTTCCAGTAATAGTGTATTATGACAGGAGCAACAGAAGAGAGCAATAGAAACATGTCCCCATACTTCCTGGGAACATGGGCATGACTACTCTTCTGTCTCTGGCAATAACTGTTTTTTTGGGGGGTTTTAAAGTATGAAGATACCATTTGCCAAAGACAGAATATTTATATCACGACATTAAACTTGAAGGAAAAGTATTTTCTACCTCATGGTATTATTAGAGTGAGACTAGATTAGTATGTCACAGTCCTCTAATGCATATCTGTAGGAATCATGAGACCAAGCTTTACATTCAAACTTAACTAGTATGTACACAACCATTGTACTAGATAAGTAGCACAAACAACTTAACTTACAAAAGAAAGATTGAGTTTTATGTTCTTCTCACTGATCTAATGCTTCCCCCCCCATACCACAAAGAGAACTAATGTACTGAAGCAATGTACTGCAGAAGGGTAATGGTCGTGCTTGTGCTTCAAAAACAGCAGATGCAACTAGCTTACAGCTCTTCGGCTTACAGCTTCGTGTTGCTCATAAGACTGGTTGCTGATAATTAGATTTTTAAAAATGAGATTTCAAAATTATCAGGTTCATATTGTTTGGTCTTCTTGTACGTGGCACCGTACAACTATTATTTCTGGAGTTACTAGAACCGCGCCAGTAAAAGAACAGTTTACTTCACCTACTAAGATGCACTTTTAACCTGCCTTCAATGCTAACATCTTTAGAAGTAAAAGTGAATCTGAAACTGCTGTATAACATTAGCAGAAAAAATAAAATAAAATCAGAGTTTAAAAGGTAAAATCTATGCAATACAATTGACTTTTACAAACTGAATAGTTTCTATTTCTCTTTTTCTTTATTTCAGAAAGTATCCTGGACCTCCGGTGCAAGTTAAGGCTGGATCAAGGGCCGTGCCGTGTTTATATCATAAAATGGTACTATGATAAACAAGCTGATGCTTGTGCTCAGTTTTGGTACGGTGGCTGCGATGGAAATGCAAACCGCTTTGAGAGTGAAGAGGAATGTAGAGAGGCTTGTGTACTTTTTTCTGGAGGTAGGAATTTATCTCTACATTAATAATGAGCAAGTTGAAACTATTGATTGTTTGGGTTTGTTATCAAGTATCCAGCATGGTATGTAAAAGTAAAGGTTGAAGAATGTTAACATTATGAAGTCATATGCTCACTGATTTAAAAAAAGGTCTACCTATGCAAGCTCACTTTAATTCTTTTTGCATATTTTGTATGATGTAGTCCTTATGTAACAAAAGAACAATTTTTCAGCAGTATCAAGAGTACAAAATTTCCTTTTTACTAAGATAAAGAAAGAACACTATAGCATTTGCCATAGTAATTGCCCTTCCTTCACCTAGATCTTTAAATACTACCATTCTACAATGATTATCTATACCTCATTTTAAATTATATAAATGGATTTGAAAAGCAATCTTTAGTCATTAAAATTATGTAATTTCTTTTTTCTCAGTTACAGAAATCTGATATTTGGCATGGATACTGCAATGACCACTTCACTTTTTTTAAGCAAAAATGTTCCCACAAATCCTATTTTAATATTTCAAGCATAAAATATTAATTTCCAAATTACATATAGAGTACCAGTCAGTACAGATAAATAAAGCAATACATCAACTTGTGGCCTCTGTGCTGTCCGGGTCACAAGACAGGGAGGTGGCTCAGCTACTCACCTTTCCTAACCACTTCACAGTAACATTTAGTCCATTTTCCTGTAAACTTTCCTCAGTTTCCATTAGCTAGCAAGATACATGACAAATACATTTAAAACACACCCACACATTTATATGAGTGACTACACCAATAGCTGGCATCACTAAACTAGGTTAGTTCATGTCTAAAGTGGTCCTTGACATGCGTTTCTGAAAGCCAAGTCTAATTGTTAAATGTATTTTAGTATTTTCATCTTTCTTAAAAAACTTTTAAAACTTATGTTTAAACCATCAAATGCAGCATAGTTTATTCTTTATTGCCCATCACTGCCATATTGCTTTTTACATTTATGTCTGCTGTATATGATGTATTTCCTATTACTTGACTTATATACTTAAAAGCTTGTTTCTAATAAAACATTTCTGGGTTTACTGCTGGGACAGATCATGGATAATGGTACCTTTACAGGACCAAAAACTTACCTCACAGCTAAATTACACTTGGTGTGTAATGTGCTCCTGATGATGGAACTGGATTTCTGCCACAGCCCTTAAGAAGACTGAACATCTCAGATTAGGCATAATCCTGCATGTGAAACCTGATGATCATTTTTGGTTGGGTTTGTGGGGTTTTTTCGCTAAACAAATAGTAAATTAAACATATCAACAAAAGCCCCTGAATTTGGCCTTAAGCCAAATACCCGCTACCCTTCCTATTGGAAGAGCTCTTGGTCGCACTCCTGGCAGGGCCGCGGCAGAGCCCTGCCCGCGTGGCGTGGGACGCCGCTCTGCCCACCAGCCCGGGCAGCGGGAGAGGAGGAGGAGGAGGAGGGACAGACGAAGCTGATGGCGTCTTCTACTTCATCGAGTTTGTATCAGCTTCCAGGTGGGTCACGACAGGCTCCTCACCAATTCGGGGACCGGCTCTTCCCGTGATTCATACTTATTTAGTAAAATTTTATATTTGAAAGTGGTAGGATACTGCAATTAAAATTATTCAGCCAGATACAATTTTCAAGTGATTCCAAATTAAAAATATTATTAAAAAAAAAAAAAAA